TCAGAGTTTGAATAGTGCGAGCTGATGATTTGGAGAAATTTCCACAATCTCTTGCACCATATTCCGGAGATCTGAAAGAGCTTCGACAGACACCTGCTTTATGTCGGCACTATTTTCATTCCCCTTTCGAGCTTCTGCAAGCCCAATGAGCTGGAGCTTTGCATTTGTGAGCGTCCCTTCTTCAAGGTTTGCATTGTTGAGAAGGGTAATGGCCAGCACCTCCCCAATCTGGGATGAAGCAGAGGAGTTGCTGTGCATTAGGTGTTCGGCAGCTAGGCCTCGAAAGCGGGAAACAAAGATCGGAAGTTCTTCTCCCTTCTTTCGGCGACAGGTAGAGACTCTGTTGAAAGAAGTTATCAGGCGAGTGACCATGGCAATTGGAGGGTCGACGGCGACCAGTTCGACAATGTCTCTGACGGCTGCGATCTGGTCATCTTGCTTGTAGTCAATGATTTTCTTTGCCTGAGTCTCATCCACAATAGATTGTTGAGCGGTTGGTAGACCACGATCATACAGCTGACGCCCGAGGGTGGCGTAAAACGTTTTATACGTCTTGTCATTTCCTCGCTGGGCTGCTGATGCAATGAGATCTACCCAACGAGATACCTTACGGCGCCAGTCTTGCGGATCACCAAACGGGGAAAAGAGGGGAGGATCGAGATAGAACCTGTCCTTCTCATTTGAGATCCCTGGGCCCACAACTGCAGTAGAACGGGTTCAGTGGTGCGTAGGGTGAAGGGACGGACGGCACGGAAGGGACGAAAGTATCCGTTCTAGTTCGTGCGCAGCAGGGGCAAACGGAAGGATAGGCAAAAATATAGGGTACCCAGACCCACGGGGGCTCCGTCCGTCTCCTCTCCGACTGCCCCCGGAATTGTAGCTTTTATCAGGACACTTGGTCCTCGTCCAAGTGGGTCTCGCGAGCTCCAGCGAGCTCGCCGGCGCCGGGTGATCAAGCATAAAATACGAACGGTATTGTGGAATCACCATGTAATCCCCCAGCGCTCATTGGGGCAAGGGGGGAATCTGAACGTGACCGTCACATCACGCAGTCACGCCACCGCCGCCGTCGACCGCGGCGGTGCTTGAGGGAATACTGTATTTCAGTCCCCCGAACTCCCATTGGGGACGTGCTCCGTTCGGCAGTCATTTCGCTTCTCGCTTTATCTCGAGAGCGAACTTCCCCGTGAGAAACTCGCGGAGGTCTGACACAATCTCCTGGAGGGCACCGCCTACAGGAATGGCTGACAATCAGGACGCGGCTCCAGAACAGCCAATAGCTTTCAGCCAAGCGCAAATCGAAGCGCTACAATCCCTAATTGCTGCAAGCGTCTCCACAGCGATAGACGCTAGGGATGCTAGAGCCCCCAGCGCTCCGGCAGCCGCAAGCGCAGAGGCACTCGACCCCGCCCCCAGCGAGGGAACTCGTGCCCCCCGGCCAGAGGAAGACGCTACCGGAGACGCCCAGAGGAATAACGAGGGTGCAGCCACACCGGGCGGCGAAGGGGGTCAGGAAGGGGCTGGACCGTCTCCGGCAGGAAACACAGACAGTGAGTGCGAAGATAAGGAATATCAGGACGACGGAGAAGACGACGAAGACCAGGAGTATCTTGGAGAAGGAGCCCTTGTCGCCTTTTCAAAGCGTTGGTACGAGAAGAATTGCCACAATCGGATCTCCCCGAGATTCTCCGTCCCACAGCGCTTCCATCCTCTACGCTCGGTTGGGTTTAAGCCCGAATCGATCGATCACTACCAAACGTTTGGGTCAGGATCAGCTAGCACAGGAAGAGAAGAGGAGGCAGCTAACCTCTACTGTACAGCAGCTTACACAACTACCGTCAACAACACCCTCGTGGACAGCCTCACGGAGCTCATCCAGAGAATCGAGGTTGTGGAGGCTCTACCGGACGACCTCCAAGGACCGGTCCTGGAGGTTTTCGAGGCGATCTCAGACGCCCAAATCGCTGTATTCGGCACGTACGAGCTCAACGCCTCCCGCTACGAAGTCCTCTGTGGACGACAAGGAGCAGCTGGAGTCGCCGACCCCGAACTTCTCTCAACTTTCATCTCCCCGGCTGCCGGGTACAGTATCGCTGGAAGGCAGGCATTCCGGCAGCAACAGCGACAGGCTGTCAAATCGGCGGCCATTCGCGCCGGGAGGCGAACAGTCGGGATCAAGGACCAGCTCAGCGGTTCGACGCGCGCTGCAGGCGGAACTGGATCAGGCAGCGGCCGCGGACGCACTCGCATCGAGAGAGCAGGTCGTGGGTCCACAAGAGGAAACGCGCAGGGCGGCCACTCCGCCCGTCGGGGAGGCAGCAGGGGAACTAAGTAATGTTAGCCCCATTTGTTCGCGTCGGAGCATCCTACGCGGAGTGGGAGCGGATCGGAGCCAGCCCGTGGCTTTTACGGCAGATCAGGTTCGGGATTCAGCTCCCGTGGAAATCGGAACCCAGATTCCAATCCCGATCGGCGTATTCCCTCGATCCGGATGGCGCCGACTTCGCTTCGAAGGAAATTCAGAGGTGGCTCACACTGGGATTTGTGAGGAGGGCGACGCCCGTCGAGACCCAGGGGCTCCAGGGGGGAAGACGCGTCTCCCCTGCATTCGTGACCACGTTGGCCCGGAAACCGCGGCTAGTGGTGGACTATTCCGCGCTCAACGACGCCCTGGAGCAGCGAACTTTCAGGATGGATCAGCTAGGGGACCTGGCGGCAGTTCTCCATCCAAACGATTCCCTCTTCAAGGCGGACATCAGCGACGCGTATTACCACCTGCGCCTCCGCCGGCGCGACCAAAAATGGCTGGCATTCAGGGTCGACGACACAATCTACATCCCTCTCTGTCTAAACTGTGGCCTGTCCGTGGCGCCATGGTTTTTCACAAAGGCCATGCGGCCCGTCGTCGCCTTTCTACGCAGGAGAGGGCACCGCGTATTCGGTTATCTGGACGATTTTTATGGCGCGCCTCGGAGTTCTACCGCTGGGGCAGCAAGCCCGTTGGATACGCAAGCGTTGGGGCTGGAATTCATGGAACTATTCTCAGGGCTAGGTCTCCAGCTACATCCCCACAAATGCGACTTTACCGGGCGCCGCCAGCTGGAAATCTTAGGGATCGTGGTCGACACGTCATGCGCGCTGTTTCTTCTAAGCGCCGCAAAACTTTCCAAGATCGAGACGCAGGCGTGCCGACTACTGCGATACGCGTCACACCACCGTCGTTTCGTAAGGATTACCGACATTCCTCGCTTCGCTGGCCTCGGAAACAGCGTCAGCGCAGCCGTGATCGACGCCCGCCTGCGCCTGCGCGAGTTGTTCGACTCCCTAACTGGGTCCGCAACTGGTCGGGCCCGCCTATCACACGCGGGCATGCGGGACCTACAGTGGTGGGCTCGACTCAGCACAAACCCGCACCTCGGTCGCATTTTATGGCCAGCCCCAGACGCCTTGGTTTTCACAGACGCCAGCATGGGTGGCTGGGGAGCGACTTGGAACGGCATGGTCCCAGTGTCAGGCTTCTTCGACGCCTCCCACGAGGGCAGCCATATCAACGAGTTGGAGCTTCTGGCGGCCCTGTACGGCCTGCGCCACTTCGTTCGACACGCGCGTACCCGGCAAGTCGAGATAGTCACCGACAGCAAGGTAACAGAAAATATCGTGCGCAATCTCACTTCCCGCTCGCCTCGCTTACTCTCACGACTACGAGAGCTGCGGGCACTATGCGAGGCACACGGCGTCACACTCTCCACGCGCCACATCCCCTCAGTGGTCAACACTTGGGCAGATCGCCTTTCCCGACGCAGGGACAGTCACGCTTGGTCTCTACCGCCAACCGCCACGCGCCTGCTGGGACGTCGCTTCGCTCAGCGCCTCGACATCGTCGACGGACACGACCTCTCCGGCTATACCCCACGCTTCACCAACCCAGTCGTGCTGCCTCGGCCCGCCTTGCTTCCAGTATGGGTTCGGTACCTACAGAAATTAGGTCGCGGCGTGCTCGTCGCACCCTACTGGTCAGGTCAGGCTTGGTTTCAGTCCGCAATTGGCGCCGGCGCCACAGTCCTCAACGTCGAGAATTTCACGCCGCCCTGGCCGACCGTCGCCCTATCGTTCTGCAAGTCGCCGCGCGCAGATGGACTCTCGAGGGCTATCGCGCTGCGCAGGCGTTGATGCTGCGCGCTGCGGGGGCTGACACGGCCGCACACCTTATGAGTTCTGGCTACGCCCGTTCGACGCAGGGGAATTACCAACGACACTGGGATAGATTCGTGACGTTTTGCACGGCACACTCGTTGGCCGCTCTACCCGCCTCCGGCAGCACCATTGCATCGTACCTCGGATATTTATTTGAGAGAAACACCGTGCGCGGCGGATCTATCCGTCCGTATTTGGCCGCAGTGGCTGCCCAACACATCCGCGAAGGCTACGGAGACCCCACAGATCATGGAATGGTTCAGATGGCGCGTCGCGGCTACGGCGCTCAAGATGCACGCAGAGCCACCGGGACCCCAGAGCGATCCGCGCCATTCCCCGCCTCAGTCGCCGAGACCGCTCTTCGCGAAGCCCTTGCAGTTCCCTGGCCTATTCGCTCCGCGCGTGACAGCCACACACTCCGCCAACACGGCCTCGTTGCACTTACGTTTTTGTTATGCGCACGCCCCTCGACTGTGGCTGCCTTGCAACGATGTGACATTCGACTTACCCCATCCGAAGGACAACTACAGTTACGGCGTTTCAAGTACGCCGAGACCGGCGTTGTGCCCCGCATCGCACTTCGAATACCCTTCTCTGGGCCCACGGACCCATTCGCTACCTTACTTCGCCAGCTCGCGCACCTTGCCACCCAGTCGGACGCCCACTTGTTCCCCCACTCCACCCGACGCGCCGCTCCCGCTGCTCCGCAATTTTTAGCCCGCACTGTAGCCGCTCTTCTCGCATCCACCGGGACCCTCGCCCCTCTTGGGATGAAATTCACCCCCCGCTCCCTACGAAGCGGGGTAATGTCGGCAGCGTACGCGGTGGGCCTCCCGCTACCACTCCTCATGAGGCTCTCGAACCACACGAGCCAAGAGGTGGTGTTGCGGCATTACGTCGATACGCAATGCCGCCGCACACCTTCCGCTCGCTTGTTCTTCGAGCGCTTTCTGACCTCCGGTGCTTCTCCGACCCAGGCTGCCCCATGATCATGGTGCAGTCGCGCATTTTGTGGCATCACTGAGCAGCCGGCCCCCTCGCGAGCGTATCCATTACGAACGGTATTGTGGAATCACCATGTAATCCCCCAGCGCTCATTGGGGCAAGGGGGGAATCTGAACGTGACCGTCACATCACGCAGTCACGCCACCGCCGCCGTCGACCGCGGCGGTGCTTGAGGGAATACTGTATTTCAGTCCCCCGAACTCCCATTGGGGACGTGCTGCGTTCGGCAGTCATTTCGCTTCTCGCTTTCCCTCCCGCCATCCCGCGTCTCACCGGCTGCTCGCAGCCCCTTTCGGCTTCTTTCTGTGTCGTTTTTAGAACGCAACTAGTGGAGTGTGTCTACATGTCTACGTATCTACACGGTTACACTCTCCAACCTTCGACTCCAATTAAAGAATTGTGTCATCAGGCATCACTGAGCAGCCGGCCCCCTCGCGAGCGTATCCATTACAGTAATTATTTCGGTCCCTCCTGATAATTCTATCCGGCTGTCGCGACACATCACACAAAATCACATTTAGAATGTAAAACTTTACGGTGGTCTGCTGCCCTTCATGCCTGGAGGGAGAAAGGCTCACCAGTACAGAACGGGTACAGTATTACTGTACCTTGCAGTATCTCAGTTCTGCCGATAGATACTCGGGCGACTTCAGGCTCCATAAATTCACCCTCTTCGGAATTTGGATGACCATATCTGTTCAAGAGCTTGAGACAAAAGATACGGATGCCGCGTTGAATAACGTGCGCACCATCAGTGTCAGAATCATACCGGTCCCCCCGTGGAACATGACACACTTCGCATTCGCACAGACAACACCGCTTGCGAGGGGCCGTCACATTCGACCACGCCCTGCCTGTTGCCGCCATCTTCACGGTCAGCGAAGGCGTTTCGTCGTCGCGGTCACAACGCCACTAAGACGAAAAAACAGCTTGTCTACCTTGGCCCTGACCACTGTTGTCGCTGCCGCTGCAGGGGGACCCTCAATTGCAGTGGGGAGCGCTCTTTTCGGGTGTCTTGGCCTTGTCACAGAGGCACCAGTTGCTCTTATCGCACTCGCAAGCGGAATCTCCTCGGCGCTTGCTGACCTCATCGCTATTAACGTCGGAAGCTCGTCCTTCGACAAGGGAGTTTTGCCATTCGTGATATTTGCCGTAGGTGCCACTGTGGCTGGCGTTATAGAAAACACAGATGGACCAGCAACGCAAGCTGTCCAGCCGGGCAGTCGAGACCAGCCTGAGATTGAAGAAGGCTGTCCGAATCCTGATGTACAAGAGACTATTTTTGGCGCCTGGGACAAGCAGCTGAAAGGAAGAGATACCAAGGGCACTGACGGAAAAGATATTTGAGCATCCGATTTTGTACTGTCAAGCTGCTGCAGTCTCCGTTCGTGGCAGGTTTACTGTGCCTACTACTTGGCTTCGAACAAAACAACTCCACGGATGTTCTTCCCTGAATGCATGTCTTCAAAGGCTTGGTTAATATCCTTGAGTGGGTAAGTCTTTGAAATCATTTCATCAATCTTAATATCTCCACACATGTACTCGTCAATCATGCCAGGCAACTGAGAACGGCTTTTCACCCCACCGAAGGCAGACCCTCGCCACACCCGGCCGGTCACTAGTTGGAATGGTCTGGTACTGATTTCCTGGCCAGAACCTGCCACACCAATAATGCAGCTCTCTCCCCATCCCTGAAAGGCAAGAAAAGAAAATCTCATCCGTTAGTATCGTAAAGTAATCAGGGACTCTCGCATACATTGCAACCGCTCAGGACGTTGCAATGCAGTTCGCGACCGTGAATCTCTTCTTACCTTGTGACAACTTTCTAGGGCCGCACGCATCGTTTCGACTTTACCGATGCACTCAAAAGTGTAGTCGAATCCACCACCGGTCAACTCGACAAGTACTTGTTGAATAGGCTTACTGTGATCCTTCGGGTTGACACAAACGGTAGCACCCAAAGTCTCCGCCATGGCAAACTTTTCCGGATTTGTATCGATACCGTAAATCGCCTTAGCACCGGCCATTTTAGCTCCCTGGATGGCGCTCAGTCCTACACCGCCAAGCCCGAAGACCGCCACGGTCGAGCCTGGTTCGACCTTGCAGTTGTTTCTCACAGCACCGATTCCTGTCGTCACGCCGCAAGCCATGAGACAAACCTTGTCAAGAGGTGCGTCCTCGCGAATCCTGACGACTGAGATGTCTGCCACGACCGTATACTCAGCGAAGGTCGAAGTACCCATGTAATGATACAAATCCTTCCCCTTGCACGTGAATCGACCGGTGCCGTCGGGCATGACACCCGCCCCTTGCGTGGTGCGTATCTTCTGGCACAGGTTAGTCTTTGGTGACTTGCAGAAATTGCACTGACCGCATTCCGGGACGTATGCCATGATGACATGGTCTCCAACGGATACATTGGTGACTCTTTCCCCAATGGATTCAACAACTCCGGCACCTTCATGACCCAGCACGGTTGGAAACAAACCCTCGGGATCGGTGCCACTAAGTGTGTACGCATCTGTGTGACATACACCCGTGGCAAGCACTTTGACGCGGACCTCGTTTGCTTTCGGGGCTTGGACTTGGATCTCTTCGATGACGAGATCGCTATTCGGACCCCAGGCGACCGCAGCACGGCAAGTGATAGTTCCAGCTGTCATGGCTTCAATGTGAGACCAACGTTTACCTGCTTTTGCAGATGTGAAGAAGTGGTGAACGGTGCAGCGTGGGGTAGGGCGGATAAATCTGAGGAGATTGCGGTTCGATTCGAGAGCATCGCATCGAACTGAATGAAGGGTAAACCATCAAATTGCTCCTGATTTTGACAACTTTCATGGATCAAATCGTTTAAAAATAGTGTTTGGTCCCAAAGTATGCTGCTCGGAGCAGTACCCTACTCTCTCACCACGCCTGTGAGGCCCTCACCCTGCTATGCACGCCTGTGAGCTATGGAGTGTTTAGCCCGCATCTGTTATGTCTAGCGACTCGCTTTTCATGAGGGAAATTCCCCTCTTGATAATACCAACAAAACTGATCCTCTTCGCTGGTAGTGTCGTGAGATACAGCACGGCGAATGCCTGCCTTTCGAGCCGCCCGAAAAAGAGATGTATCTGTCTGTCGGTAGACGCAGAAGAAAGGCTAGGATAGCAACGTCCAGCACGTTCCGAGATCGTGCACACAGAGACAGCTCAGGGCAAGCGACAGCCTTCGAAGCTAAGCAATCGATGGCAAGAGTGCAAGGGGCGGCAGCGCAGATGGAAGCGACGAATAGAAGTGGAAGCAACCCGTGAGGTTGGGCGTTCTTAGATCCGCATGTCACTCTGCTGTGGAAAGCGCCAGTGCAACAGACGGATAGTATTGTACACAGCGAACGTGCTAGCCGCTCGTATCGTTCTAGATTTACAAAAAAGAAACTCGCATGGAAAGCACGGATTCACAATCCCAACGCGCGACCTCAGTTGGCCCCGCAATAACGAACTTGGCGTCGACAGCTCACGTAATTGTAAACAAAAGTTGGATATTGAAACAACTGCAAAGCTTATCTCGCGTACAAAACGTGCAATCCACGTTGATGTCCCAACCGCAACCCGCGCGCATCATACAACCCCCACCTCCCCATACGCGCCGCAAGTTCACCCCCACACACTGTCGGCAGCATTCGCGGCGTCACGTGGTGCGTTTGGATACGGCGATGACCTGTGTGATCTGACTGGAGCCGATGCCCTTGCCATCGATCTTCATGTCAATGTTCTTGAGGAAGATTCTCCAGATATCGTCGTGGTTACGGTAGTGTCCAATGACGCCCTTAATAACGGCTTTGGTGCGGACCTGCGTGGCGAGGGCGTCAAGCATGGCGCGGCTGAAGTGGTCCATGACGACGTCGCGCAATTCAGGAGTGAAAAGCTCTGCCGTGACGAGTTCGTCCAGCGTTTCCTCCAGGTCCTGTCCGAGCAGCGACAGGCGGTAGTGCTCGAAGGAGCCGGACATCGTGCTGAGAACTTCGCGGGAGGTGGGGGTGGGGGAGAGAGTGTGCGGGGGTGGATGCGGGGAGAAGTGAGTGACGGCTGAAGGGGTGCGGGAAGGACGGAAAGGTGCGGAAAAGGTCAAATGCGGGCAAATGGGGCAAGTGCCGGCTGTCATACTGTATGATATTTCTGAGGCCTTTGCGTTGCAGGACAGCTCAGCGTGACGGCCCCATTTCTAGATCTCCTCCTCAGCACCACCACCCTCCCCCGGCAAAGCTCCTCTCCCTAGGATCCATCCCCGAACCCCACAGCCGCCAGTGCCTCCCGATGACCAAGGCCTCGCGCCTCGCGATGTCCTGCGCCGCCTTTGGCGTGCACGTAGCGGGCATCCCTCGAGCCTCAGGTGCCTCGCTCACGCGTGGCCGCTGCCGGCCGCGGCGTGCCCGGGCTTTCCCGGTCGCCTGCGAAGAGCGGGCGCCAACCGCCGTCCCAGCGACGCCAGCGACGCCAGCACCAGCGGCGCCAGCGGCGCCGCTGGAAGACCCGTCGCTGGCGGCGCTGCCGTCCCTCTCGCTGCCGCCGGGCACGGCGTCCGGCGCGCAGGCCTTTCTGGATGACATGGCGGAGCGGCCGCAGTACTACCTCAACGTCACCGGCGTGGTCGTCGGGCTCGGGCTTTCGGCCGTCGTGCTGTCGGCAACCATGGGCGCGCTGGACGCTATCCCGCTCGTGCCGGATGTGCTCAGGATTGTCGGGCTTGGGTATGTGTTTTGGTTCCTGAACAAGTTTTTGTTGAATGCGGGGGAAAGGAAGAGACTGGCGGGGGAGATTGATGAGTTTGTGGACGGCGTGAAGGGGGATGTGGTGGAAAGGGGGATCGAGGCGGGTGGGGAGGACGATCGGAGGCTCATGGTCGAGGGGTTGGAGAAAGCAGACGCGGATTTGGTAATGTAAGACAGGAGGCGGAGATGTACATTGCCAAAGTATTGGCGGCTGTGGTGTAGCGATTGCAGGAGGATGAGTTTGTACGGGCAGCGCCATATTTACATATTTACTCGGTGCTAAGCTAGCACCACATCGAGCGCACTGCGCACTGCACTGACTGCCGAAGGCTTGCAAGCTTTCGGAGGGCGTGCAGCCAAGACGTGAGCAATAAAAGGCTTGACAGGCGCGATGTGGATAGCTTTACACCGACTTTGGCTTCGGAGGAGCAAAGTAGAAGCCTTCGTTAGTCTTCCACACGGTATTGGCGTTCTGCCTACTCGAGCCGCTAACCTGGAGCTGTCCCGGAATCGGCTCACGAAACTTGAGTCTAGCATCAGCGGCAAGCCACTTCCCCCCCTCCTGATGCTTGAACCGCACGTGCTCGAAGCGCTTCCACTGCGCGGCGCCCCTTGCGACGCATTCCAGGACCCAATTATCGGCGGTGTCTCCATTGAACCATCTGCCGTCCTTCTGCAGGGCGTACGCGCTGACCTCTGCGTCGGCGTTCATCGGGGCGCGATGGTCGTGGCTGTGCAGGTTCTTGCCGGTGTTGAGATGCTGCAGACGGACCCAGTCGCCGCATTTGACGGGCTCGCCGGCCAGGCGGCGCGCGGCGCCGTGCGCCGCCTTCACGATCCAGTACGAGTTGGAGTCGCCCGCGTCGTGGAAGCCCGTCACCGACTGCTGCCCCGAGCCCGAGCCGTACGACACGTCGTGCGAGTGCAGGCGCACGCCTGTCGGCACGTGCTCCAGCTTGATCGTCGAGCCGTACGTGACGATTTCGACGGGCTCCTCGTCGTCGCTGGCCAGCGTTACATATAGATGCGAGAGCAGGAGAAGGGCCAAGGCGGCGGCTCTGCTCTTCGGGGGGAGCATGGCGGGGGAGGGTGGTGTGGGGGATCGACCGGGGCGGCGGGCGGAGGGGGGGGGAGGGAAATCCAGGGGGCGGGGAAAGTCAGAGGGAGGGAGGAGGAGAAATGTACTCATCAATCAACTGGAAAGGTGAAAAGGAGGAAAAAATGGGTTTGTAAAGCGATCATAACGCGGCGGTATCTTACACATCGGAGGATTCTTCGGGCGGGAAGACGAAACGGCGTGGCAGGACACTGTCCGGCAGCGAGCAACGAACCGCCGGGGCCGCTGTCCACCGCCTCCGTCCCTTCATAAAATCCCCTTCTAAATCCGGCCCTCCCGCCGCCATGTCCCCAACTTCCGTCTCTTCCGACGACGACTTCTACGACGTCCCCCAGTTCGTCTTCGTCCCCAAGCACAAGACACATCTCTCCCCCTCCGCCCCCCGCTCCATGGAGCCCCAGAAGCCAAAGCCCAAGGGCAAGGGCGGCCCCGGGAAGAAGCGCTCCCGCATCAAGCCCAAGTCCGACATCAACGCCCGCGAGGCCACCGTCCGCAGCCTGGACCATCTCGGCCTGACCGCGCGCCCCATCTCCTCGGCCGCCAAGCCGCCTCCGCCCAAGCGCGCGTATGGCCGCGGCAAGCGCAAGCTCGGCCGCAAGAAGCCCGACGAAGACGACGCCGCCGCCAGCTCGGGCGACGAGTACGCAGGCAACCTGCTCGACACTTACATCGGCCAGGTCGGCGCATGCCGCGCCCTGGGCTTGCAGGCCGCCGACGTACTCAACCTACACGCGTGGCGCAGGTTGACGGAGGAGGAGCGCGATTCATTACGCGCCCATCTCCCGCAGTCCTTCTCGCGCAAGGAGAAGGAGGACACCGTACATCGCCTGCTGCAGGGCGACTCGATCTATTTTGGGTCGCCGCGCGATCGCATGTTCGACGCTGTGGCCGCCGGATGCACGCACCCCAGGGTCCGCCGCTGGCGCCTCCGCGTCACGCTGATTGAGCGCAGGCATCACTTGCTCACGCTGCGCGAGTTCCATGACCGCACCGTCCGCCGCTTGCTCGCACGCAAGGCCTGTATCGAGGTCGCGCAAGACTCGTTAGCGGGGCTGGCCGCCGTGGGGGGGAACCTCACCAAGAAGGGAGGCGCCTTGCAAGCCCTGCCGGGGCGTATCAGTGCCACAGCAGAGGCTGCCGCACAGCGTCAGGTCAACGAGTGGGATGCAGATCGCTGGCGCAGGGTCCTGGACTTTCGTAACCAGGAGACGCAGCGGTATAACGTCCCGGAACGGGCGTATAGATATGAGAACCCATGGGGGCAGTCGATCGTGGGGCCGCTTAAGAGGGGTCCGGCTCTGGATGGGGGTAGGCCGAGGGAGCATGTTTTGTTGCGGAATGAGCGCCCTAGTCATGTCACCATTTTGTGCATTGTGCGAGATGCGGCGTCGCGTCTTTTGAACAATCGCGGCACGAGGGCGGACATTTGTGATCTGCTGAGGGATAGCCAATACCTACGGGAGCATGCGACGTTTCAGCAGTTGAACACGGTGGTGTCTGGCGCGCTTGACCGTCTGCACTATGAGGAAAATGCGCCGGTTCGGTACGACGCTGAGACTAAGGAATGGTGCTACCTGCACAACGATATGGATGTGCATGATTTTGAGAGACCGGTTTGGGCGAGAGAGAGTAACGTCAAGCAAGATACGGTGACATTGCACTCAACGCGCAACTCGACCAGTGCTATTGTACGAAGCAGGCCGAAGAAGAAGAGGAGGAAAAAGATGTCATGATATGTATGCATCAGGCTCGAAGGTGCACTTCCGTTATTTGGGTTGCGGGTTTCAAAGTGACGATCTTGGCGTCGCCTTCTGGTACACTCTGAACGGCCCTCCCATAAGTTCTTGAACTTAAAATATGCTGGGCAACATAACTTAAATGTTTCAGCAGCGTACGATATTAGAAAGCGTAACCTAATTTATCCGTCGCGCAATGGTACTCACTAAAAAGCACGGCCGGCATCACTTAACCGTCATTGCTAGGGATGCGTTTCTAGGAACATATCCTCAAGCTGGCAAGTTTGTCTTGATCTTTTGCTGATTTGAACTGTCTGCGGCCGAGCCGAGATGGCTGCAACACTCCTTAGCAATACTCTACGTAAAGCTCAAGCTGAGTCTTCAGCACATCACCATTTCAAATGTTCTCTGGTCAATTGAGAGACACCCTTGTCCGTAGTGGCGTGCCAAATGAAGCCCTTCATAAACGAAAGAAATGACAGCAAAAGTGGTGCTGAGAAACACCAATGTGCTTCGCTTCCTGCTCGATACTTTCTTCATTTTTGCGGTACTTCAGTACTGTAGCCTCGTGTACCGCAGATTCTATCTCTCATTACTGTAATGCGGTCATTTGTTCTGCTCCACCGCCACCCCACTCTATTCTGATGAAACCAACCGGATGCATGACTGGCATGTGCTCGTTGGCCGCAATCTTCAGGGTTAAGGTTTCCTTAGACGAATAGCATGCCCATAGTAATTGTAACTACTCTCTGATATATGTAGTTCGATGTCCCGATAATTTTGGAAATTTTTCGGCGGGTCGCCCACAGGCATCGTACAGAGATCCCGACGACCGCCGCTCGTCGACGTGTGCATCTTGGTCAAGAGTAATTTACGACCTGCTCAGATCTGCCCACCGACCTTTCCCTCACAGTCACCATGGCGCCCAAGCAAGGAAAGTCCGCGCAGAATTCTGCCGCAACGGCAAGCCAGGCGGCTTCTAAGAACGCCAAGGGCGCGAAGAAGAAGAAGTGGTCCAAGGGAAAGGTAAGTTTCCCGATCCATTGCCGCGCATTCGCATCTCATTCGCATCTCAGTCGCATCCACCCCGCCGCGCATGACGTGATAGTTCATGTGCAATTGCGCCCTCACGAAGAAGCGGCATCCACGCGAACCTAATGATGTACTAAACAAATTCCCCCCCCCCCCCCACCTCTTGACGCCTCTGTCCGCAGGTCAAGGAGAAGGCCAACAACCTCGTTCTGTTCGACGAGGACACGTACGAGAAGCTGTACAAGGAAGCGCCCAAGTACAAGCTGATCACGCCCTCCGTGCTCGCCGAGCGTCTGCACATCAACGGCTCCTTGGCTCGCATGGCCATCAAGGAACTCATGGCCAAGGATGAGATCCGTATGGTGTCGCAGCATTCTTCTCAGCTGATTTACACCCGTGCTACAAACATTTAAGGGCAATATCAACATGTAGCGACCGCGTTGTAGAGCTTGTTCAACGCGCTGGTAAATGTTGTATCGTCTTCCTGTGTTGCATCCCGGCGCTCTTGTTGTGCGCTCGCTCTTGCTGTCACATCGGCATGTTGCCTTAACTGCGCGAGCAGACTTTGGTCTAATCGGTTTTCTAGTTGAACCGAACCGAAGCGCTTCGAAGCGAAAACCTAGAACGGCCCCCTTAACCTCGCTTGCGCTTCGATGCAGCCACTTTGCCCTCAGGACTTCTTCTCGTCATTAACGTTCTCTATGACTATACATCGCAGGACGTCAAGCCAGCTACTCCCGTCGAATTCTCAACGTACTCGACCCGCATCTCGTCCGCACGAACAGCGCAAATCCCACGACCTTCTGAAGCACGGTAGCGAGACATGCGGTCCCGTAAGAGGAGTACGTGCCGCTTTCGCTCGTTTGCAGCTTTGCGTTTCTCGAACCTTGAGCATGACCATATTCTACAACTCAACGGCTGCAATATCCCCGCTCTGTCTTGTACTGCGCTCTTCTTCGCTTCTAACCGTTCTCTACACCATTCTTCTCGTATCACCGTCAATTCCACCTAGAGGCTCACACAAGCTTAAGCCGCAGTGAAGTGCGACGTTCTGCGAGAAGAAGGCGCCCACCTGGAGCTTGGTGGAGAGCAGTCCGATCCGGGGGAGACGATCTGGAGCCCCGTCGACTTTCGTCAGAGTTTTTTTCATCTGTGGCTTCCCCTGCAGGTTTAGATGAGACCAGCGTGCCTCGTCATGCCCCTCCAACTCACACATCAGAGCATGCACGTCAGGGGGAGAACAATCCCGCACATCTTGCACCACTTCAACTCGATGAGGTCGAAGCGCAAGAGCCTTTCGAAGACGTTTCGTCTCCTGTGACACCAGCTGCACCACGCATGACGGAAGCCGAGGTCCCCGATGTTAGGGGCTTGCCACCTAGTAGCTCCCAGTTGCAGAATCCAGATGTTGGTTGTATAGCTGAGGAGGAAGTTGGTGTTGAAGATTCGGCGGAGAGAGAGGAAAACCCCCACTCAAAGCTGCCCATTGAGGTGGCGGGGAAGCGGGCTCTTACCTTGTCAAGCCGAAAAGGCACGTCTTCCAGTCTCGGAAGAGAGAGTTGGGGGGTGGACTGGTTCAGTGCGGTCCCTAGTCTCGAAGCAACAGACGGAACTGCTCGTCTGCGCTCCGAGACAGTTGAAGAGGGCGTACATGCCCATGTCCCGTCCTTACAAGTCCGGGATTTCAGACCTCTGCGTGTCTCTGGAGGAGCTCGCTCTGAAGGAACAAGTCCATACGCGAATGGCTCTTCGAGCTGGGCATGCGAAGGAGAGGAAAAGTTTCTTATTACGAAGCGCTCTCAACTAAAATTTGTCTCTGTTGAGACACCGACAGGATTTGTGAAAATTGCTATCGGTCTATTTGCTAATTCCGTGTGTGCAGGAGAGCTTCGAGTTGAACCACGAATGTCAAGCGGTGTCCGTCGTGCATTGAGGGGAGATGAGTTTTACTGCATTAGTCATGGTATCCTACAACTTGAGATTGGCTGGAGGCGTTTCATGCTCGCTGAGGGAGACTTCTTCGCCATCATGCGCCACACTTCTTTCGAAATATTCAATCCAGGGACGGAACTTCTTAGAATTGTGTGGCTTTCATTGACGGACGATTAAGATGACCGTTCCCGGGAGCCCTGCAACCCAGATACATGCATCTAAAACGGAAGACGCAATCATACCCTGACACCATACTGAAGAATCTCGTTCAAGTGTATTGAGGCAAGCGGTATATCAACACACCAACGACTAGCAACATAGCCTCAAAACATAGTTTGCACTTTAAATCACGAATCGTGTGGTCCTAACCCTTGTAAGAGTTCTCGTTTCCTTTTCTCTTTTGCGGCGAGTTTCTCTTCTGCAGTCATCGGATTCGAAGAGAGAGCCGCCTCCCACCCGCTTTCTTCTTTCATAGGAGTCGCTCTGAAAGGGATCGGAACAGCTGGTGCTGGACCACTCGGTAAACGGATTCTCTTGGCCCTTTCGAGTGCAGCAAGGGCCTCATGGTCGAACTTAGGGCCCGCATTTTGATCTTCAAACTTGCGTTTCAAGCGAATCTGATGCTCTCTCGCCTTTTCTTCCCGAGCTCGTCGTCTTTCCATGAACTCGTTGAAAATTTTCCGCACAGCGTCTTCGCCAGCGACTGAGTGAAGATATTTAAATGCTGTTCTGTTCTTCCATACTTCCGCAGCAATTTCAAATGTACTATCTGCCGATATTTCGTTCTTTTGCAGAAAGTCTTCAAAGTCTGCGGTGGCAACACGCAGTTCCTTTTGCCGCTTTTTGCTTTCTTTTCGTTGCCTATCAGCGAGTAAAGCGTCGACAACTGGTCTGTCAAGGCTTTCTATGAGCTTGTCTAGGCTTGGGACCTTTTGCAGATCCTCCACTGTGGTAGCATCTTGAATGTCTATCTTCGCGTCTCGAATCAGTCGTTTGAAATTTTCGTGATGCCTGTCAACCCTCTCCTCGAACAAAGATTGCGCATCCGCATATAAATCGGGAGGTCTTGCGTCCAGCTCGTCCTCGGGAACAGCAAAGCTTTCCCTTGCAATTTGGTCAGCCACTTCCTTCCATCGAGCTGCGATGGGAATCCTGCCATCAAGGATCATTCTCTCAACGCCGCTTCGGAATTTCGCCCGCCGCTCCTTTTGCAATGCCCGTCGTGCCTCCCGCTCACGTACTCTTTTCTCGTGGGCCCACCGTTCGACTGCTCTTCGCCAGTCCCGAGTGATATCTGCTTTGTCGCTGCTACTGACAGTCTCAGAGCCTGGAATGGAATTCAAGAATTTGTCCAGTTCTCGATATGGCGTTCTATCATTGAAGAAAACCTGGACTTCCTTTCTGGACTGCCCATCAGCTGAAATATCACCATTTGACGCGTCCTTTATGGCAGATGCCTCAGAAGGTTTATCCCCGTCTGTTTGCTTTTTCACCTCCCTGGTGGGCGGCAAAAGAGTTGGGTCTACCCTCTTGTCGAGTGCCGTCCGCATCCTCACGATACATTCCTTCCTACGTCTTGCACGTTCCCTCTCTCCACTCCTTGCTCGAATGCCAAAGAAACTTTTCACAAGAGATGAGCGCTGACGCTCATCAACAGCACGGAATCGTTCGTCTAGCTCAAATACTCTCACTTTTTCTGGATCGCAGTGTTCCAATTTTACAGTAGCGATCGGTTCTTTCGCGAAAACCTCTTCCATCAATGTGAGCAGAGCCTCGGACTTTGCTCGTGTCTTCAGTATCGACTGGCGGCGCGCCTGCTTAGCGCACTTTTGCGTCCATTTCAACCAAGCATGTTTGCGAAATCCGTACTGCTCAATGACCGTGTATCGTGGATCACCTGCGCAACGACTCATAGTCTCCAGCCATGTTGACTTCTCATTAATACCGCGCTCTCGGAGGAATTCAAAAAAGACGTTCTCGCGCTGCTCATACGTTTCTAACTGCATCAACTCTGGAGCCTTGCCCCCGTCTGTATCTTCCTTGCCACCAGAGGATTGTTTCCTGATCTTGGCCCGATTGAGAAAGTAGGTCTCCGCTTGATGGTCCGTGAGGGTCTTCCCTTCCTGCGATCGTGGTCGTCTCGTAACGTGGTCTCCTTTCTTTTCTGCTTTGCTCTTCCCATCTTTTCGCTCTCTCGATCGCGCGATAGCCTCCCTTAAATCGGTGACCGGCTGCCTGTCGACGCGTGGCCGTTTCCTTTCCCCGGAGGCGCCATGCCCCGCAGGTTTTGTCCAGGATGTTTCCCTTGTCTTAGCGTTATAATAATACGTCCTACCATCTGGCGCTGTATGCTCCCTCCAATCGTCAACAGTTGGCGTAGACACAGGCGTAATCTCCGACGCCGTCCGCTTCCGGCTCACCTCCGCCGATACCGTCGGTCTATCCCACCTCGTCTCTCTCGTTGCCGCATGGTAGTAATACACGCGTCCGTCCGCTGCCGAATTCTGCGCCCAGCCCTCCGGCAACGGCTGCGGTTCCTCTCCCTTTTCATCTGCCTTCTCCTTCGCGGCCGTCACGCCCGGCATGTCCGCCGGCCGTTCCCATTGGGTCTTTTTCGTCTCGGTATTGTAATAGTACACCCTGCCATCCTCGGCGCGCGTCTCGCGCCACGGCGAAATGTGCTCCTTCGCGGGCGGAGCGGCGGCTGCTTGCGGCGCGGCGGATGAGGGATCCTCCCACGATGTTTCGCCCGTCGACAGCGAGTACCAGTACGGGCGTCCATCCTTCGCAGTAGCGCGGGCCCAGTCGGCGGCGGGGACGCGGGGCGCCGGGAGCGACGGCGGCACGGACGCGGCGTGGACGGGGGCGCGCGCGGGGGCTTGGGCGGCGGCGCGCATCCAAGCGGGGCGCGTGAGCGCCATGCCACGGCCGCGACCGCTCATGTTTGGTGTAGGCGGTCAGAGAGGGAAGTGGGAGAGAAGCATGCTTGCCGCTGCTGACGACGGTGGCGAAGGGGGCGTTGAAGAGAAGAGCGATTGGGAGGAGCGCACGGTAAGAGGATCTGGAGGCGAGTATGAGTGGAGGGTTTGGAGATTAATTTAATTGGTTGCACTGGAAACGAAATTCTTGATGGCTCCCGCGCTTGGTTCAAGTTTGAACGTTTAATTTCCCGCATCATCGCCATCCCCCCCGTGCTCCCATTCCTAAATGCCCCCTTGAACCAACCCCCCAACTATCCCCGGACCCGTAAGCGCCCCACGCCTTCCGCATCAGCCTCGAACCCACCGCACTCACCGCACCCCTCCCCGTCCCGCTCCCTGCTACCCCACGAAAAATCGCGATGGCCGTCGTGGAGGATGCATACGATGCCGAAAGGCTGTTGCGCAGTGCCGCAGAGCACTCACTGCGCGCCTTCATCGAGCCAAACGCCACCTTCCTCGCCGAGCGTCTCCATCTCATGTTCCCCTCCCCTTCCTCAGCCCACCTCCTCGCCACTGCACATCTCCGTGAAGGAAACTGTTCGCGCGCTGCTGAAATTCTCAGGCCCGCCTCCACTTCCGAGAATCGCTACCTCTACGCCGTCTGCCTCGTCCGTATCGGCACCCCGGACGCTCTACGAGACGCAGAGGCCCAGCTGCGCGGCCCGCAAGCACAATTAGATCTCGACCGCGCTTCGACGAGCGTCGCGCCGGGAGGCGCCGCGGGACTCCATTTGCTCGCAGAGATCTGTTTGCGCACGGGGAGGAAGGACGAGGCCGCTTCCTTGTTCAAGAAGGCCATTAAGGCCAACCCCACCCTTTGGGTTGCCTTTGATGCTCTCGCCAAGATGGGAATCGTCGTCGCTGCCGAACGCGTCCTGGGTACGGGCGGGGACGCTGAGGCGATGCAACGATTGCTGTTGCAGCCGCAGTTTGACAATGCAATGTCTGCTGGAGAGACCCCTAGAAGAAAAAATCGGCCCACGCGAGACCGGCCCCTCAGCATGCCTTCTGCGAGGCAGGAAATGCCGAATGGAAATGCATTCCGCACACCAGCAAGGATGGATGTCAACCAGTCAACCTTTGTCACTCCATCCCCGATGCCCGCCAGCACATGCAATTTGAACACTCCCGCGGCTCCAATGCAGACGGTAGGCGCCCCAGCCAGGAGAGCGAACAGGAGAGCGGCTGCTTTGAACAATAGTACGCAACAGCTCATCCGGCACAGCGGTGCTGGCATGGAGGATTCCCACGTGCGCAATCCGAATGATCTGTTTGCAACCCCGACTGCCACTTCAGCGCTTCCATTTGCAAGTGGAGAAGTACGCGATAGGCATTCTTTCAGGGGAGAAGTGCAAGTGAAGATACCGAAAACGCGTAGCGCCATTGCGAAAGAAAGAGATGTCTTGCGGTCTCGACAGCCATTTGAAGACTCCCAAATGGAAAGACAACATCTAGGCGCAATGGACTTAATACGAGCCCTTGGTCAGATTGTCTCCGAGCTTGGGCGATTTCGATGCCAGAAGGCACTCGATTTAACAGAGCGTTTACCAAGGGTGCATCGACATTGCGGAATGGTTTTGTCCATTCGAGGTCGCGCGTTTTTGGAGAAAGCCGAGTACGCCTTTGCTGAAAGGGAGTTTTTAGAGTCGCTGAAAAACGAACCTACACGCATGGATGGAGTCGTGGAATACTACTCAACGGTGTTGTGGCATTTGAAACGGGAGAAGCAACTGTCACAACTTGCAATCAAAGCGCAACGCGTATATCCCATTTCATCAAGCGCTTGGTGTGCTGCTGGAAATTGCTTCTCGATGCAACGCGATCCAGATGCCGCCCTCAAATTCTTGCAACGAGCAATAGCAACTTCAAAGGCCCCGAACGCCTATCCATACACATTGGCCGGTCACGAGTACATGGCAAAAGAAAACTTTGATTCAGCTCTTTCGGCTTATCGTCAAGCACTGCATATTGATGAAAGAAATTACAAGGCTATGTACGGTATTGGACAAGTACTCCAGAAGCAAGAAAAGTTTGCTCTGGCTCAAAGCCACTTCCGGAGCGCTATTCTGATTCATCCCCTAAACGCGAATCTGCACTACCATCTTGGCATGGCACTCTCGGCAGCTGTTAACGCCAGCAGCACTACCGATAGGTTTTCGAAGAGCACCAAGCATGCTCTGATTCCAGCCCTAGCAGAGTTCGAAACGGCAGCGAACTTGGACCCCGCAAATCCTGTCCCACGGTTTGAAAGAGCTAAGATTCTTGTCGCTCTGAAACGCCTCCCAGAAGCACGTCGGCAGTTGGAGAGCTTGCGAGATTTGCTACCGAAAGAAGCAGAAGTGTATTTCGAATTAAGCCGAGTCGCAAAGCAGATGGGAGATATGAAAACGGCATTGCGTTCCATAACTATCGCGCTTGACATTGAGCCAAAAGACCGAAAGTACAAAAAGGCACTTGAAACACTCAGCAGTGAGATTGACGCCAACGGCATTGCATAGGCAAGCATCATCTTCGATCTTGTGGGGGGATACAAACATCCCTCTGCTTCCAACTGGCTCTACCATATACACACAAGACGAGCGCAATTTGCTGTGCCTACGAGCGTTCTTCCTTTGTTTTCGAGGAGGCGCAAGGCTCAATGGGAGCATGCAATGCAGCAGACCATGACAGCCATCGCAATGCCTTTGGCACGGAGCTGTTGGGGTCGGGGTGCTCGTCATGCTGGTAGAAATAACCTTCCGCCGCAAGAGGGTACTTAATATACGACGCTGACGCAGCTGCGTCGGCTGATTCATCCGCTGCTTGAGCAGAAGCAGTTTCGAGAACCACCACTGACGATTTGTACATAAGCAGATACCAACTCGTGTCAGTAAATATTTCTCACACTTTTCCTGGCCAGAAAGCGAAGTGCAATGGTCGACGTACTTGTGCTACCCTCCGGAATGCGGAGGTCGCCATGGCGCAGAGCCCTGCCCCGAAAACGTGTCATGGGGTCTGGGAATGAGCAAAAAGCGCGCGCTGTCGGAGCCGGGCCATCCGTGTGAATAGAGCATGGAAGACGATGGGCAACTCGCTTCGTAGTACCTGTTGATTCCGTTATGCGCACCTCCATCTCACGAGGTTGTGAAGGTTTTCGTACGAGGTTGACTGTGAACACGCCAAATAAGCGGCCCGAAACCGTTGATCACCTCTGCTGCAGCTCTGCGCGTTCCGGCAGCGATGATGACGGCTCACTGACGCATGCGCGGGGCTAAAGATGTGCTTTCGTTCGAAGCAAGTTGGCGGAGGAGGGGCGGGGTCAACTGTGTGTGGACGAGACGGGGATCAGCTGCATATGTCCTCTAGATGGTGTGCTTTCCAAATGCGACACTCGTAGCTTTGGCGCCAATTTGGGAAACGCTTTCATACAGTACAGTAGTTTTTAAATTAATCTGAGTTTTTTGAATATTCGAGGAGGCCCGTAAACAAGTTCATTGACAGTTATGATGCGATTACGGACGGGACTTAAGTAGAATAAGGGCCGTTACTACAGCAGTAATTCCATGATAACAGCATATCATACCCTCAATGCTTTTGCCAAATTCATACATCGCTGTTAAACCTCGCTAGTATTACGTAATACGTCGTAGTACCCATTTAGATGGACTAATTCACGCGAGAGCTGTTCGGATAGAGCGGCATGTGCCTCCTTGTGCTGATATGATCCCCTGACTCGTAGACTTTGCGCGGCCCCATTCGTCAAACGACGGAAAGGATTTCGTCCTTAACCTCCGCTCGACTGTTTTTGCGAGATCCATGCGTCGCGCCCTGATGGAGATGCATAATGTCCCCCTTGCGGCTCGCCCTTGACTCTCCGCCACCTGCCTTCCGTCGTGTGTCCCCAGCACCCCGAGAACCATCTATTTTTGCCTAGGGTGTCATTTTTGCAAGTTTCATGCCCTTCTCCTCAACTCTCTATATGGAGGACTAACGAATGTTGCTAACCCGTCCCCATGTCCTGGAAGGATAACTCTCAATGGTCGGTCGCACTTTTCTGTGCCAGACAAGCTCTCACCGCTTTGCCGACTGTACAGGTTCCAACTTCCGTTTCCAACGCCATGAATTAATTCTGGCGCAGTGTGGGCCTCGAAATATGCCCATCGAGGACACCTGAGAAGACGCGAAAAGAGGAAAGTAATTCTCGACCAGCCCTAACCAATATGTACATACAATGTATTCGCCATCCGGAGGATCACGAGCATCAACCATTATTTCTACATTCTTCGATGAGGCATAGAGCACAATGTACAAAGGGCCAGTATTTGACAGAAATCTCAAAAGTAAAAGGATATGCAAGACCAAGCTCTATTTCATGTGCAGTCTAGGAAAGGGCGCCGACAAGAGTGTTCTTCAGAAGTGCAGGTTTATTCATTGCAATCATTCAAAGTACAAACAATGGAAGGTTAGGTGTTGCTACAAGTCTTTTCCGCTCTACTATTTCCATTTCTTGGATTCCTGAATTGCTCTCGAATGTCCTTCCAAAATGACTTTCCGTCACCAGAAACTGTACATCAACATGACATCCATCATGCCGAAATTGAGAGCAACACACTTTGAAGAACTCATCTCAAGAGCTAGATACATCTGCAATCTGGTTCGCAGTCGTTTGTTGCGATGTGGCATCTGTGATCGGAATGATGATTTGCTGGAGGTGTGGTTCGGCAGGCGGCCCATCAATCCGTTGTAGAGTATACCTTGATGTAAACCAGTCTACCATCCATCGAATTACACCAACTATGGCGCCGCCGAGCAATGCTAGCGCTGGAGTCATCCATGCAGGGAGTAGCGGTTCTCGATTTTGTGAAAAGGTATCCGTTTCTGGTACCGGAATACAAATCGCAAGAGCTGCTTGCAATAGTAGTAGCAAAACAAAGCACCACCGTGCATGTCCTGATGAATTGAATGGCATTTTGAAAGCAAGCGTGACTTCTGCGAACCGATGCGACAAGGAATTGCTGTGAGATATATTAGAAAATTGAAAGACGAAAGACTGTAAAGAAGAGAGGGATAATTTGCTCAGCAGAAAAGAGCATGGGGTCGAGCTTAATGAATGCGGAAGCTTACTTCGAAAACAACAGATGTCGCGAACTCGTCAGGAAAACAATGCGGTGGTGCGCGAAGACGGGTCTTGTTTGCTAAGGTAGAGCTTCGGGTAGTGAGAAAACAAATGGGAGACTTGTTCGAAAAGGTGTCGGGGTGTTGCAAGAAGAAGGGGATCGGCATCTTGGTTTTTTCCGTACGTTGCTCTATGTAAATAGTGAAACTGAAACACTTTTCAGTGCTGTTTTCTTTCAGTATTCGACGTGGTCGCGGGAATGAGTAGGCATAGCATGTCACTCTTGACATCTTGTCAAGGTTGGACTGAAATCGGGCAATTTAAGCATTTAAAACGGCGTTTCCACAAAAACTCCCTTAGGGGTTGTATGCTGAGGCTCGCTAAGTCAATGAAAATCGTCCAAATATTAGTTGACAGATTACCGGTGACAGATGACCTGCAGCAAATCCACGTCTCTTCGTGTACGATGCCGCAGCCGTGCTGGAGATACTTCAGCCGTGCTGGAGCTCCTCTGCCGTGACGCTCCCCTAAAACAGAAAGCACGCATCGTTCTTGCTGCCGAACTCTAGACTCTTCCGTGACTGCAAATAACAGGAGAAGGACCTCCGCTTGCTGTGGTGGTCAGAAAATTACATCAAGCTCCCCCAGCCCCTCCTAGCTCTGATATGGTGCTGCTTTTGGTCCAGGTCGAAATCACCTCACATGAATATTTTTAGTCTCTTTGAAGAATGTTCAGTTATTTCTAAAGGCGATCAATGACCAGTGCCTTCAATTGGAACAGGATTCGTGGAGCGATTCGATTAACTAGGCGTGTCTGCCATCAATCAATATACTAATTGCTTTTTCTTTAGTCCATGTGGAGCCTAACAGCAGATTATATCTTCAGGTAGTTGTAATGTTTCATTCCCCCTATTTCTGACCTTCTACCTATACCTCGAAAGAAGACAGTAACTCTTGTTTGCAACAGGAGTGGATTATTAGAGACTCCATGGACGAAACCGTTACGGAAGGACCCGTGTTAAGATTACGGGATGCATGAAGAACATCGATAAATGGAAGTACTCAGACATCAAAAGAACACACGCTGCACCCTTGAACGGCGTTATCGATGTTACTTACCAAGTCTAAGCACCCACGCAGGGGCATCATCGTTGTGTAGCTTCCATTTCCTGACTTTGAAGGCATGTTTTGACTATGGCATAGGGATTGCGTGAATGATTAATTGAGGAAAGAGCAATTATTAGGATGTTCTGCGCCAAGAAAGTGTTCTCACGGCGAAAGAAAGTACATAGTTCATGCAATGCTCAGGATCTTGCAATATCCGAATCCATGAGTATCCTTGCGACAGCAGACAAGCAGGCATGACACGCATTTTTTGTCCCAGTCGACAGTAGTTTAGGCGTCCAACAATCTCTTCAGGTCTGCATTGTCTTGACGCAACGAGATCCCATCTGGTAAGTAGGCTATTGGACATGTCACGCTTTCCCGCTTATGAAAACAGGCGCTTGCAAGAAAATAGCGGACCCTCATTCATGCTTTGCGTATGAGATCGGAGCACCCTCTTTCGCCCAGTGTGGGTTCCACCTGTAGGCCCCAAACAGTGTGCATATTCTTCAGCGTGACGTTTCCTTTTTTTTCTTTCTGCAGCAAATTAAGCATTGAGTTTGTACTTGAATGGGCGTTCACGCACAACGACCATACATCCAGAACAATTTGACAAGTTAGTATATTTATTCATTGTTGTATGCCGCCTCTGAAACACGCATATGCTGAGCTCTTGTTCAGTTCCTCTTCAGGATTGCAGCTGTCAGCTGCCAGGTGATTATACGTAGAAGTGCCAGGGGCCTTTTAGCAGCTCGAATAGAATAATGACTTAATTTAGGTGAAAATGTATAAAGTACACGGTGTAGTGCGTAACGAGGTGCTGCTGAGGAAAAACCAGAGGCTTATATAACCGCCCTCAATTTACTGTGCCCACAAAAATTTGATTGGCAGCAGTGCTAGCAGATGTTTATGGCATCGAGAGAAGCCCCGATATACCTCAATTACAATGCTTACAATAGATTTATATATACAGTCATTGCATTGTATATTGTATATATAGTGCAATGATATATAAATATATACTATATGCATGACTGCGCGCTACGTATGTTCGCCTGAACGAATCAGTGCTTCCGAACGGAACGGAACACGACCAATATGTTAAAGTACTAATCGAGTTTATTTCTACCTCAACTTCTGAAAGCCCATAAAATGCTTGGGGCCATGCTTAGGGTATAACTTCGAGAGTTGTGATTTGCCATTTCTCGCATCCTTCATATATGAGTCAGAGAAGCAGAATTTAGAATATCTCTTGCCGAGAACTGTCATTCATCTCCGGTCAGCAGCATATGCTCACTAGCCAATTGAACGCTTGGACTCGAAGCATTCGGGTTAGCTTCATTATGTTTCCATGCGTATGCCGATGCTATGGCTTTGAAGGCCATTCTTTCGGCCGTAATTTGTGTTTCCTTATTTTTCATCTCGATAAGGATACCGTCAACGGCTCTGGTGATACACCTCGACGTCATCGTTGCCGCTTCTCGTTCAATGTTGGCCTTGTTAACTGCTTCTTCCAGAGAGGTAATTCTTTTAGCACTTTTCCTCATATCAGTTCGGATATCCTCTATCACCTTTTGGTAATCACTGGGTTCTAGATACAGCTGGGATCCCACTGCGTTCCAACCCTCATCCACTCCTTTCTTTTTCTCCGAGTTTTTGGGTGTGCGAAAGCGATTCCACATGGTGAATTGTTGGCTTTCTTGCGCTTCCACCAAACTGGATGACAAACTGGATGACCAACTGGATGAGTAGGTTGGTGCTGTATTCCAACAGGTTCGTTGATGAAACGTTTCCCTTGACAGATCACGGGTCTTTCTTGAGAATGGGTCGTCTTCTCAAAAAAATGAGAGCCTCTAGAAACCTCAATGTCAACGGCAGTTTTCCCGATTTGCATCTTGATTAAACTGTTCATGGCCTCATTGGTTTGGGACATTTGACCCGCCCATGTCTCTGGTAGTGCGGCATTTCATTTGTCACACGAATGGTGTTAAGGAAGCATTCAAGAATGACGGATGAGGGAATCCAATCGAAAAGATTTAAGAAAAATAGAGCGTACTGTATACACTCTTGCAATTATCGAACGTGTAATACACACGAAGTCTTTCGCATTCTGAGGAGGAAACAATGCGCACGGAAAACTACGTTTGGTTTTGAATATACAAGTCGGTTGAGACGCAGTTTTTTGTATTTCTGATCTTGTACATGATAAGATTGCTAGGGAACCTAATGAGATCACAATGACCTCATTAGACCGCCTACTTCTCATAATCTACTCGTACTAACCACATTAGAAACAAGAATACTGTAAGCATTATGCGGGTGTGAAATCCAATCAAAACGTTCCACGTGGTGAAGTCTACTTTTAAAAACCGGATTATCCAAACTGCATTGTCCAGCAGGGACGCCTTTCAGTTCTCGTTGAGTGAAGAGATAATTGCCAACCACACCTCTTGCTGACTGTTTACCTCACCTGCCCGTCTTCCCCGGTGAGTTATTGCGGAAACATGACCGGAACTGATGTGAAGCCGCATTCATCAACGCCACATGTGTCAAAACCATCCGCTGATCAGACAGCTGCCGTTCTCTCCTCACTACCAGACATCTCAGATATCGCCGACCTCAATATCCCCTTCGATGCATCGCTTGATATATCCGCGTATATCAACGCGACCTTTCCCGACGAAGCATCCCTATCGAAGAACGTTGATCCATTCCTTTCACGTTTGGACGCAACGCTTTCCCGCCTTGACGCTCAGTTAGCGAATCTTGTACGTGATCACCGTAGTGATGGCGCTGAGTCTGCAAAACTTCTTGAGGGCACGCTCTCCTCGGTTGCATCACTACAGGAGCGGCTCATATCTCTGACAGATGCCGCGAGGATGGCAGACGAAGAGATGCAAAGAGCTCTCGCGCCCGCGAAACCACTGTATACAGCTCTGGAGAACACTGTGGCAACAGCGGCGGCCTTGGAGGCGCTGGTCGGGCTAGAGCATGCTGTGGAAAAGCTGGAAACCGCTGCGGGCGAGATTTCCTTGGCTGGCGTGGCGGGCGACCTCACTGTATTCAGCAGTGTCAGGGACTCGCTTGCGCTGTTTGATAACATGTCGGAAACAAGCGGCACGGGTTTACGGAAACTACCGGAACTGCGCGCGCGGGCAGCTGTCGCTATTGAGACTCTTCGCTGCAGCATATTTTCCGAATTCAAGCGCATGTCAGATGTCGTTTCCATGGCTGGCAGTGTTGAGCCGTCAAAGCTAGATGACGCTGTAGCACGACTGAGAACGGCATGCTTGGTTGCCCAGGCAATGGGCAAAGACGTCATAGCGGAAGTCATTGGCTCTTTTGTTCGCGGAAGAAAGCTGGCTTTTCGGGCCGCGTTTGCGATGGATAAGAGAGGATTTGCTGGGGTAGAGAAGCGATTTGCGTGGCTCAGAAGGGAGCTGAGGATGAATTGGGCTAGGCTTGGTGGCGAGAGAATAGATCGCGGATGGGGCGTGGTCTTCCCAAACGACTGGGGTGTTGCCTGGCGAGTAGCTGATGGAATTGTTCGGGAACTTCGTGATTGGACGTCGGCCACCCTGGATGCAGGGGCAGATAGAGACGTCGCAGTGATGGTAAGTGCATTGAGTAAGACAAAGGAGTTTGAATCTGAGCTGGACCAAAGATTCAACGCGCTGAAACGTCAGAGCGACGAGATGGCGAACCTGCCGTCATTTGCAGGCACAATCAGTGAATCATATGGGCCCTGGATGGGAGCATATGTTAATCAGGAGGATGAACACTTGCGAGTTGTCTTACTCGAATTGCTTCGGGACGAGAAGTGGGTTTGTGAAGACGGAGCTGTCCTAGGTTCGGCCACGGAACTATTTTTGGTTATTAAGAAATCTATGCGAACCTGCGCATCTTTGGATATCAGACAACCACTGTTTTCGCTTCATCGCGTTTTCCGCAAACATCTGGGGTCATACGCATCCAGTCTAGTTAAGCATCTTCCAGGGGTGCGTGGAAACGCACTTGCCGATAGCTCCACACCTGAGATATATGCTACAAAGGTACAACGAGTATGTGATATTATCAACACGGCTGAATACTGCTCGTCGACGATTGCTCAACTCGAGGAGTCTCTTCAAAACACTGTTCAGGAAGTCTTTGCTGGAGACATTGAACTTAATGCGGTGAAGGAAAGCTTTGGTGCTGTCGCTGCTAGAGGAGTGCAATCAATTGTTACCCTATTAATAGAGGATCTGGAAATCCATCTGCGAGAGCTTTCTACTCAAGACTGGGCAGCCTGGCCGGAGGTCGGCGACACCAGTAAGTATGTTGAGAGTATCTCCACGAAGCTAACGGCTTCTGCAAAGAGCCTCTTCGGGCAACTTTCAAAACATCACTTTAGATTTTTGCTGGAGAAGTTTGCTGCTGCTTTTATTCCTCGTTACCGATTCCATGTCTACAAGTGCCAAGAATTGAACAATTTCGGAGCCCAGCAAATACTTCTTGATGCAAGTGCGATCAAAGCATTGCTACTTGGCCTCCCTGCGTCCATACATGCCCCAGTTCCGGGAACGTACGTCAAGTTTGTCAATCGGGAAACGAGCAAAATTGAAGCAATGCTGAAGGTTATCCTCGCGCCTGTCGACATGAGCGTCGACACATATGTCGCACTTGTACCGCAAGGAACAGCAGAACATTTTCAAAAGATACTGGAAATGCGCGGTCTGCGGAGGGCAGAGGCGGCTCCGCTGGTCCTTGATTATTCACGTCGGATCGGGCCATCCCAAAGACTACGGCCTCAGACACGAGAAAGGGCGGTCTTCGAAATGCCTCAACCAGTGCCGCAATCTACAGAGGGTCGGAGTGTTCAAGGAAGTTCTGCACAGTCTAGTCCTACTCGCAGCTTGGCCAAACCTTCTGGACAAAATCAGAATGAGCAAGGACAAAGTGCCACGGTTGATTCAATGAAGAGCTTATTTGGACGGCTTGGTACTTCCTTCATGGATTCTGGAATATCGGACCGCCTTGGTCAGGTTAGCTCCCAGTTTGAATCTACGACAGACCGTCTCAAACGAGAAGCGGCGGCAAGAGGGTTCCGCTTCGGTCAATAGCCGCCAAGTCCTGATTATTGAGAAGCAATGAAACTCCTGAATGAACTCTGGCAATTATCTCGCTCATTTCCCCTGGTTGTTGTTGGATTCTGACTTTTTCTTTCAGTTTTACCATGCACGTCGGAAGCGGGCTCGTGAAGTGGTATTTGACTGCACCCCATTTGCTTCAGCGTTTCTCTTTGTAATAGTTGTTCCTGGTGACATAGCTTGGAAACGACCAACCGTGGCGAGTTTCTGACCGAGGCGCACTCTCTCGCCACTTGAGGCGTGAAACTTAAACGATTGCTCCGGAGCTTCAAACACTAACACAATAGCAGATCCAAGCTTGAATCCACCCATTTGTTGGCCCGGAGTCAGGTTCCGCGGGTCATGATACTTGTGTCGAGAAACTTTTGTACGACTGGGACGGAAGTGCGGCTGAAAGGATTCGGCTTCTTTGTCAATGTAAATAGACCCTCGTCCAGCTGCACCGACTGCTGCTAGGCAAAAAAGACCATGATCCCACTCTCCAAGCATAGCCAGCCTTTCGTTTTCGGTGTACAAACCGCTAATATCGGGGTTTAGCCACAGGAGGTACCCTCCTATACGCGTTCTCTCTGAGACGCTCCAAGACGTGGGTGAGGCGAAACGATGACATTGCCCGGGTTCTATATGTATAACAGTATACCAGAGTCGTGCGCCACTCTCTTTTCTATCAGCGACAGCTACAGAGGATACTGCTAAAGGCTCTCGTTCCCGCGCGCCAAGCAAGTCTCGAATGCAGTACGTGATGTTTTTGACCTCGATAGATCCGTATGCTCCAACGGGACCTGCAGCTATGACAGTCCCATCACATGGTGCCACCAGACTTGCTGTTTTGTCAATAGGACGGAAGTCTGAAGCGATGTTCCTGGCGAAGAAGTCCGAGAGCGACCTAAAATCACGCAAGTCGCCTGCAACTTCTGACACATCACAACCCAGCTTCGAACAATAGGACTTGTACGCAGGTTCTCGCAAAGCAACTGGGATCGGCAGCGATCCTGCGTAGTAAGACACCATACCAATAAGATTAAGTGGCAACTTGCGCAGTAAAGAAGCGTCCTGTTTCACTTTTGGTCCCTTGCTCCAGTGAGCAGCCGAAAGTGCCCCAACACCAACACTGATCCCAGCTAAGCTAGCGAAAACAGCTCTATTCGCAAACTTGCTGCGCATTTCTGTTCGGACACTGGCACCGCCGGATCGCGGCTCCGCGTCTTCAGGGCGACCAGGGGAGATAGAGTACCAATTTGGCCTTTTTTTTGTTGATAGGGGCCTCCTGATGAGCAATATCAAAATCGTCTGCTTCAAATAAATTTACTTACATACGGTAGGTACTTCTATACATGTCAAAAAGCTACTAAAGTGCTATCTGTCCAGACTGAATAAACCATACACAAGTATATGATACAAAAATTTGCACAGGCGTAACCAGTATTGAGGAGGACAAAGATGTCTGGCATATTGCTCGGGGGTGTTAGTACAAGAAGAGGGAGGTGCAGGAAAACTCCTATCACAAGAGCAACCTTCAATGCAATGCGTTTGTAAACTGTTTGACTGCATCCTTTGAACCTGCATGTCGACGATACTAGTGCAATATGGATCAAAAGTGTTGCCCAGTACGCTGACAGCAACCGTTCCCTCTGAAATAGTGGGAACATAGACATGCTCGCGACAATTGAAATCCAAAACGATATGAGCGGATGTTTACCGTACAACACACACAATGGCAGTAGCGGCAGCAGTATCTGCTTCTCATGAACCTGGAAAGCAAACAAGTACGCTGCAAGGGCACAGCCGCCAGTCGACAATAGCAACCGGTCCGGCGAAGGCTTGACGGCAACTGCAACACAAAACGGGAGAGATGTGAGGACAGTGCATGTCGCGCACATCTTAATGAGCATCTCTGGTTCCAACAGTGCCTTCATTTTGATGAGTACGGAGATCGAACACCAAACGTTGGCAACTTTATCCTCAAAAAGTCCTCGAGAAACGGGAAACAGGCGTTTCAAAACAGAGACAAGCAATTCCTTCTCGGACAGCCATGGCCAAAATGTGATCACAGACACAAGGAGAATGGAAGAAATTAGTTTGCACACAAACAGAAAGGCGCTTGTTGGTCCTGATCTCCTTAAAATTCTCCAGAGCCGACCCACAAGAAAGGAAAATACTGCCAAGCCGTAGTACAAACCCATCTGCTTGAAGTAGATGGAGAGACACAACGAAGCGGCGCCAAGCGCTTCTTTCCGTAAAATGAAAAATGCCATAGCGAATAGAAACAAACCTAGGCTCACTCCGTTGTATTGAAAATGTCCGTGATCCGTGAGAATGAGAGCGGGTAGTGTGGCGCAAAAAGCTACGACTGGCACTAGTTGGGTTGTCCTCGCGGTGTCAAAAATGTGATGCGATACTGGCGACCGATACACACTATAGGACGCCAGCACAAGACCCGGGAAGAAAACAAGCAGATCACTCAGAAGCACAGTGAAGCGCATCGCAGCCCGCGACAGAGGACTTTCGAAACCTCTCGAGGAGTGCAAACGGACGGCATTTGGTTCGACGAACTGGACAATTTTGCCGAGGGCCCACGATGCATAACCCGAGAGCGGAGGGTAGTCAAGACCCCAGTACGCAAGGTCGTTGTCGGACGAGTTCTGATACCAACTGGAAGGGGGGAGATGGAGTGAGATCTCCATCCAATGTCGCTGAGCCTCATAGTCTCCATATAATGGAGGGGTATTCTCTCCTGTGACGCATTGGCAAGTGAAAGGATTTCAGAATGGATAAGGAACGGCGGATGTATGCATGCGTACATATTTGATATTGATAATGTACTGGTGAGTCAACTTACCGGAATAAGGGGAAAGTGAGACTGCTGCACGAATGCAAATAGAAAAAGATACGACAATAACTAGAGCCCAAGAGATGGGTATAGTCGCTTGTTCATCCCTCTGTGTGGTTCTGGGGTTGCCGTCGGCTTGAGCCACTGTTGCCACTTTTGATGCGGCAGTCGTTTCTGAAGACTGTCCCCGTTGACGCATTCCTTAGACCTCTCAATAGGGAGCTGTAGTTTCACTTGCCAGTTTTGGTCCCGTCGTCTTCTCTACCGCCAAAGCAAAGGAATGGATGCCGTTGCAGGCGGCGTGTGGATCCAGCAGGACGGGCAAGTCGGGAATGTGAGTGACAGGTATTAAAATAATGGAAAATGATACATGAATAGCATATAGAATGTAAAAAAATGATGCTCAATCATTTCGGTCCAATTATTTCCCACATGACGTGATCCGATGCGATACACGAGTACGGGAAATTCGCGATACACGTAAAATTTTAGTGGGGCAGGGGGACTCCGTCCCCTGTCCGCTCCTTACTCCAAAGCAACAACGGCAACAACAAGGACGTGCGGCGAGAGACACACGGTCGTCGTCATCTCGCGCCTGCCCTTTCCCAACTCCCGTGTCTCAACTGGTTTGGGTCGTCACGGCATGCGCAAGTAGGTGACAACCGTTTGCACTCAAGATGATATGCCACGCGTTGGCGCTGGCCGCATGTTTGGCGGTGTGCTCGGCGTCGTGGGTGAACGAACACGTGAAGCGGGTGGTTGACGTCTCCAGCACGGTGGCAGTCTCGCGCACGACCATCCGAATGCGGAACATCGGAGCAAGCGACAAGGACTTTTTCTACCTCGCCGTGAAATGCAGCGATGCGCCTGGACTCGGAGATCTGTGGGTGTCGATCCCCCCCGCCAAGGGATCGGTGCTGCGTGCGCTCCCGATGGAGCGCTCCGACGAGGTGCCAGGGCTCGACCCGTGCTGCAGCGGATACAAAGTGAGTCTGACATCGCCTGTTCCAGCCGGCGGTCAGGTGACCGTGGACGTGCGGATGGACGTGGCAGGCGTGATCAAGGCCGTGCCGGAGGTACTCGAGGGCCTCGAGTCGCAGTACATGCGGTACGTAGGGAGCGTGTACTTCTTCACACCGTATGCAAGCGAGGAGATGACGACGAGCATCACGCTCGGGTCGTCCGAGGTGACGTCTAAGCAAGGGCTCGAGAAGCCATACGAGCTGATCAGGAAGAAGCTGAAGCTTGGCCCGTACAAGGGGGTGGGCGCGCTATCGTACCAGGAGCTGCGCGTGCGGTTCAAGAACGACCGGGGGTTCCTGGTGGCGTCGGTGGCGCGCAAGGACGTGTACGTGAACCACCTGCTGCAGCAGATCTCGGTGAAGGAGGAGCTGGTGGTGGAGAACGCGGGTGCGCGGCACGTGGGCGAGTGGTCGCGGGTGGATCACGCGTCGGGCGCGTCGTCCAAGTACAGGACGGCGATGGGGGACGTGTGGGCAAACCTACCGGACGACGCGACGCGCGTGACGTACACGGACCTGATCGGGAACGTGACGACGTCGCGGCTACGCGAGGCGGCGGGCGGCAAGCAGGCGCTGCAGCTGAGCTTCCGGTACCCGCTGATGGGCGGGTGGCGCAACCACTTCTGGGTGGCGTACGAGGTGGGGCTACTTCGGCGCGTGCGGTCGAGCGGGGCGACGCACGAGGCGCGCGTGCGGCTGTTCCCCTCGCTGCACGCGGACCTGCTGAGCAGGGAGCTGGTGGTGCGGGTGTTCCTCCCCGAGTGGGCGCACGGCGTGCACGTCGTGGCGCACCCGTCGCTGTACATGGACGTGCGGCACGCCGTGGCGCGCACGACGCTGACGGTGTACGGCCGCCCCGTCGTGGAGCTGCGCATGCGCGACGTGCGCTCGCAGTCCAAGCACGCGCGCGAGGTCGTCGTGCGCTACTCGTACAGCGCAGGCCTCAGGTGGCTCGTGCCGGCCGCCGTCGCGCTGGCCGTGGCGCTGGCCGTCGCCGCGTTCGTGCTCTGCGTGCGCAGCGGGCTGGGCA